ACTATTGGTACTACCCTTGCTTGCTATTGCCACAGTCTTTCTATTTCTATTTGTAGGTCTTTTTATTTTGTTATCTTCTCCAGTTCTTTCTCTTCTATTCTGCTATCTCCAGGCACTGCCACGTCCACTATCCAGACTTTTTTGTCTTTCTTATCGACAATTGTTAAGTCTGGGTGTTATGTTGCAGGTGCTTGTCTGTTTGAATTCTGAAGTCCCAGAGCAGTTTAATTTTATCATTTTCTATGAATTTCTCTATTTTATGATCCCACCAGTTTTTGCTTACAGGCAAATGATATTTTTTGCAGATCTTCCAATGCACCATTGTTTCTACTTTGTCATGCCGCTGCGTGTAGTCAGTCTGTGCAATCTCTTGCAAACAGCTTAAGGTGGTTCCACTGTTTTCTCAGCTTCTTTGCATAGCGCCGGCACCTTACTTCATTGCTGTCTTCTCAATTTGACTTTGTATGCATTTGTCCTTAAGGCTTGGTCTTGTGCAGCCAGAATTAGTCCCTCGGTCTCTTTCTTCAATTTTCCTGCTCTTAGCCATTGCCAGGTTTTATTATTATCTGCTTTCCCAGCTATTCTTTTCATGTATTGGCCATGTAGTGCTTTGTCTTCCCATGCCTCTATTCTGTTCTTCATTTGGTCTTTCTTGTAGGCCAGTTTGGTCTCTCCCGTAGTTAGTAAGCCTTCCTGATATACTAATTCAGGAATCGAATTTTAATTCTTATTAAATAAAAACTTTATTATTATTAGTATTATGGATCATCGCACAGTCAGCCAGATGTTCAGACTGGATTTGGCATTTTGTCTACCTAGCGAGTCCTTACCCAGGACCTGGGATAGGCAGATGTGGATGTTTGATGGTATTCCAGATATCGTCGCAGGATGGAAGCAGTTCCTAGTAAGGCCGCCTTTTGCAATTGACGAATAGCAAATTTGTCAATGCCAATGGTGTTCAAGTGGTGCTCCAGTTGTTTTGGGATTGCACCCAAGGCGCCTATGACTATTGGTACTACCCTTGCTTGCTTTTGCCACAGTCTTTCTATTTCTATTTGTAGGTCTTTGTATTTTGTTATCTTCTCCAGTTCTTTCTCTTCTATTCTGCTGTCTCCAGGCACTGCCACATCCACTATCCAGACTTTTTTGTCTTCCTTATCGACAATTGTTAAGTCTCGGGTATTATGTTGCAGGTGCTTGTCTGTTTGAATTCTGAAGTTGTTGTTGTTGTTATTAAGTTGGAAGGGACCTTGGAGGTCATTTAGTCCAACCCCCTGCTCAGGCAGGAAACCCTTGACCATTTCAGACAAATGACTGCCCAGGCTCTTAGAACAGAACAGAGCTGGAAGGGACCTTGGAGGTTATCTAGTCCAACCCCCTGCTCAGGCAGGAAACCCTATATCATTTTGGACAAATGGCTGCCCAGTCTCTTAGAACAGAATAGAGCTGGACGGGACCTTGGAGGTCACCTAGTCCAACCCCCTGCTCAGGCAGGAAACCCCATACCATTCCAGACAAATGGCTGTCTAGTCTCTTCTTAAAAACTTCCAGTGTTGGAGCATTCACCACTTCTGGAGGCAGGTGGTTCCACTTGTTCTCACTGTCAGGAAGTTTCTCCTTCGTTCTAGGTTGCTTCTCTCCTTGATGAGTTTCCACCCGTTGCTTCTTCTCCTGCCTTCTTCAGGTGCTTTGGAGAATAGCTTGACTCCCTCTTCTTTGGGGCAGTCCCTGAGATACTGGAAGACAGCTATCATGTCATCCCCCCCCCCCGCTCGTCCTTCTCTTCCTTAAACTAGACATACCCAATTCCAGCAACCGTTCCTTATATGTTTCAGCCTCCAGTCCCCTGATCCTCTTTGTTGCTTTTCTTTCATCTATTGCTATAGATGATTCAGTAGTTTAATAAATATTTGATTCCTCCCTGCTGAATTATCCTCAGCCAGAATGAGGGATCAAAGGGAGAATCTGCCCTTGCTCCACTGTCTTGTTTTGTTCCTCAGCTATCTTTCTATGGAAAATTTGCTAGCTAGGCCCAGCTTGTCGAGAAGGGGAATAACGTCTGTCAATGGGGGTTTGGTTTTCATTGTTATTTCTCAAATTTAGATAGCCAGCTATCTCACACAAGTTGACTCTGGGCAGCATACACAGTGAAAATATAAAGTATTTTTCTTTTAAACGATAAGGAGTCAGTCTTGTTTACAGGATGTCTGGCCTGGCCCAAGGTCTCCTACGCTGAGGCTCTGGAATCAGCTACTATCTGAAGCTACTGATCCCTGGATCACTTTGCAAGAAAAACGAAAAAGATCACGTGAAGTATTAATACCACTCTTCAAGGCCTTGGTAAGGCCACACTCGGAATCCTGCATCCAGTTTTGGTCACCACGATGTAAAAAAGATGCTGAGACTCTAGAAAGAGGGCAGAGAAGAGCAACAAAGATGATCAGGGGACTGGAGGCTAAAAAAGATAAGGAACGGTTGCTGGAATTGGGTCTGTCTAGTTAAGTGGTTCTCAATCTGTGGGTCGGGACCCCATTTGGGGTCGAATGACCATTTCACGGGGGTCACCAAACCATGCTGTCCGCCGTTTTTTTCCCTTTTCCCTAGCTGTCCTACTCCCTCTTATTGGTGGCCACGCCCACTTGGGGGTCACCACAACATGGGGAACTGTATTATGGGGTCACGGCATTAGAAAGGTTGAGAATCACTGGTCTAGTTTAACGAAGAGAAGGACGAGGGGGGACAGGATAGCAGTATTCCAATATCTCAGGGGCTACCGTAAAGAAGAGGGAGTCAAGCTATTCTCCAAAGCACCCGAAGGCAGGACAAGAAGCAACGGATGGAAACTAACCAAAGAGAGAAACAACCAGGAACTAAAGAGCAACTTCCTGAATGAGAGAATAATTAACCAGTGGAACCACCTGCCTCCAGAAGCTGTGGATGCTCCAACACTGGAAGTTTTTAAGAAGAGACTGGACAGCCATTTGTCCGAAATGGTGTAGGGTTTCCTCCCTGAGCAGGGGTTGGACTAGATGACCTCCAAGGTCCCTTCCAACTTTACTACTATTACTACTTTCGGTCACTTTTGCCAAGTGCCCATAGGTGGAGGTAAGTGCTAAAGCAAACCTTCGCAATGCACAACATTTGCTGAGCAGTAAATAATTGATCCTGTGTAAAACAGTTCATTAATGAAGATTTCCAAAACAAACACGCTATTCCAGACTGAGCACAGTACACTAATTCAGACAATTCTATTTAAGTTAAGTTGATCCCTATATCAGTGGCCTCTTTCTTTCTCCCTACCAGCTATCTACAACAATGCCAAAAAGCTTCCCATTTATTATGCTTTGGTATGTGGGCCATTGTCAGGTTCAAAACTTGTTAAGGTGCCAGTTAAAATTTTTAACTTGTTTTCAGCTTATTTTCTGGATAAGCAATAATTTAGGGAGGGAGGGAAGGGAAGAAAGGAAATAGGGAGGGAGGGAAGAAGGAGAGGGAGGGATATGAAGAAAGGAAGGTATATGAAGATCCATCCCATGGGCCAAACACTCAAACTTAATAATATAATAGTAGTAAAGTTGGAAGGGACCTTGGAGGTCATCTAGTCCAACCCCCTGCTCAGGCAGGAAACCCTACACCATTTCAGACAAATAGCTGTCCAGTCTCTTCTTAAAAACTTCCAGTGTTGGAGCATTCACCGCTTCTGGAGGCAGGTGGTTCCACTGATTAATTGTTCTCACTGTCAGGAAGTTTCTCCTTAGTTCCAGGTTGCTTCTCTCCTTGATGAATTTCCATCCGTTGCTTCTTGTCCTGCCTTCAGGTGCTTTGGAGAATAGCTTAATTCCCTCTTCTTTATGGCAGCCCCTGAGATATTGGAATACTGCTATCCTGTCCCCCCTCGTCCTTCTCTTCGTTAAACTAGACATACCCAATTCTAGCAACCGTTCCTTATATGCTTTAGCCTCCAGTCCCCTAATCATCTTTGTTGCTCTTCTCTGTACTCTTTCTAGAGTCTCAACATCTTTTTTACATCGTGGTGACCAAAACTGGATGCAGGATTCCAACTTACCGTAGTTTATTAAACTGAGATATGACTGCATGACAGCATACTCTTAAAATGCCTTACGTGCCAAAGAGAAAAAAAACTCTGTTACTCCAGCACAAAAGACTGAAACACTCAAGATGTATATAATTGTGTATTTGGGGACCAAGAAAACCAAGATCATAGCATCCGGCCCTCTCAATTCCTGGCAAATAGATGGGGAAGAAATGGAGGTAGTGACCGATTTTATCTTCCTGGGCTCCAAAATCACCACAGATGGGGACTGCAGCCAAGAAATTAAAAGATGCTTGCTCCTGGGGAGGAAAGCTATGGCAAACCTAGACAGTATACTAAAAAGCAGAGACATCACCCTGCCAACAAAATTATGCATAGTCCAGGCCATGGTTTTCCCAGTTGTAACGTGTGGCTGTGAAAGTTGGATCTAAGAAAGGCTTAGCGCCAAAGTATGGAGGCCTTTGAACTCTGGTGCTGGAGAAGACTCCTGCGAGTCCCCTGGACTGCAAGGTGATCCAACCAGTCAGTCCTGGAGGAGATCAACCCCGACTGCTCTTGAGAAGGCCAGATCCTGAAGTGGAAACTCAACTACTTGGGCCACCTAATGAGAAGGAAGGACTCCCTGGAGAAGAGCCCAATGCTGGGAAAGATGGAGGGCAAGAGAAGAAGGGGACGGCAGAGAAGAGGTGGCTGGATGGAGTCCCTGAAGCAGGAGGCGTGAGCTTCAATGGACTCCAGAAGACGGCAGAGGACAGGAAGGCCTGGAGGAACGTGGTCTATGGGGTCGCGATGGGTCGGACACAGCTTCGCAACTAACAACAAGAACAAAGCCAGGCAAGCAACGACTTCACATTCCAACTTCTAATTTTCCAGGGAGAGATTTTAATCTATCTTCAACATAGTGGTACTTTCGGTCAGCAGGAGACCTAGTGCCTGGATCTTTACCACACTTAGCTGCTTGCTCAATACGTCTGCAGTGCATAGTCCTTTTCTTGGAACTGGCTGCAACGTGGATTAAACCCGAAACACTAGAGAAGGGGTGAAAAATGCATAGGTAAAATGCACAGGCCGTCCTTGACTTATAACCATTTGTTTAGTGACCATTCAAAGTTACAACAGCACTGGAAAAAGTGAACTAACGGCCGTTTTTCCTGCGACCGTTGCAGCAGTTAGAACAATTAACCAGGGGAACCATTTGCCTCCAGAAACGGTAAACACTGGAAGTTTTTAAGAAGAGACTGGACAGCCATTTGTCTGAAATGGTTTAGGGTTTCCTGCCTGAGCAAGGGGCTGGACTAGATGACCTCCAAGGTCCCTTCCAACTCTATTCTATTCTAAGAGACTGGACAGCCATTTGTCCAAAATGGTATGGGGTTTCCTGCCTGAGCAGGGGGTGTGTTATGTTATGTGTGTGTTATGTATGTGTACACTTTTGAGAGCAGGCAACAGAATTTCATTTTTAATGTGTGCCAATATGCCCACAGTAAAAACTGAAGATAAAGGTTATCTTAACTCACTGTCCCGTTTTCTAGTCTGGTGTTGGCACGTGTGCAGTCTCCCCCCTCCCTCTATGTATAAAAATACTATATGTATGTATGTATGTATGTATGTATGTATGTATGTATGTGTTTGTTTGTGTGTGTGTATACACACACACACCACACACATACACAGATGCATGCATACATAAGGATTTGTTCATAACCAAATAACCACCACAATTCTGCTAGATCAAAAGAACAGCCACTGCATCAGAGAGAAAGGAATGTGATATGTAATTTTGAATATATATTAGTAAGAAGAAGAAGAAGGCTATGGAGTGATGAATTAACCTATTGTTTATGACAATTAACTATATCTATTATTGTTAGTTAAATGCGTGTACCCAGACATTGTGCCGTTTGCTAAATATTGAAAATGTTATTTGGAAAAAAACCCAACCCCAACCCTAACTCCAAGCCAACCCTATAAAAACTAATAAACTCATAAAATCTACACAGAAAAAAGAAAAAAAGAACAGCCACAGCAGAGAATGCCCACCCGGGCAACCCACAAGAATTAGGGAAGCAAACATCGAGCAGCGCAGAACTTCGTCCACAAAACAGAACGCAGCCACGGAGATTCCCTGGTGCCTGAATTTGAACTTTCTTCCAAAAACGCCTATTATGATTTATCAGCCCATCTCAAACTGGCTGCGCATTCTTCCCAGCGAACCAAAACACAAAGTCAGCACGTGCAGGGCAGGCTTTTGGAGCATGACCAACTCTGACTCAAGGAGAAGGAAGTCCAGAGTTGTTTGCGTGCTTCCAAGGTGATCCACGATCTCTTGACCTGCTCCGTTCTGGTTTCTATTAGTTCGTGTTGATATTACTGTACAGCAAGTCCTGCTGGAGACAGCTTTTCAATCCTGGGCGCACAAACACAACCTCTTCATATTTCAAATACTCAGAATTAAGATTTTTTTAATAACTCCACACACGGGCAATTCAATGAAAAGAGGAGAATGAAAGTCTACGGGACTTGGGTTTGGCTAGTCTAAAGAAAAGAAGAAACAGGGGAGACATGGTAGCAGTATTGCAGTATTTGGGGGGCTGCCCCAAAGAAGAGGGGGTCAGGTTGTTCACCAAAGCCCCTGAGGGAAGGATGAGAAATGATTTGAAACTGATCAAAGAGAGAAGCAACCTGGAATTAAGGAGAAACTTCCTGACAGTGAGGACAGTTAACCAGTGGAACAGCTTGCCACCAGAAATCGTGAGCACTCCATCACTGGAGGTTTTTAAGAAGGGGGTAGACCAGTGATGGTGAACCTTTTAGAGACCGAGTGCCCAAACTGCAACCCAAAACCCACTTACGTTATCGTCGGGGGCCGGGTGGGCGTGGCCCATTGGATGGGTGTGGCCCATTGGGTGGGCGTGGCTTTGGCGGTAACGGCAGACTGGGTGGGACTAAAAAGTTCAATCAATCGATTCCAAGATCTTTTTTTTTTTCCTGTGAGAGGTTGAAATTGACTGATTGATTGAACCTTTTTTTTTTTTTTGCACACGCGGCGGAGGCCTAAAGCGAAAAGGTTTTATAAAACCCAGCTGAAGGCCTAGGACTAGGGTGACGGCGCACGTGCCCACAGAGAGGGCTCTGAGTGCCGCCTCTGGCACCCGTGCCATAGGTTCGCCACCACGGCCCTATTGCATCGCTGTCACAGACTTCCTTGGAATATTCCCCTTTGCCCAAGATTAAAAAAAAGGGAAAAAAAACAGATAAAACAGACACGCTCCCTTCGCTGGCAAGGACAGCACTTCCCGCGCTGAGCATGGCTGTTTCTTAACAGGGCCACGCAACCGTCCTTTGAGTTCATTCCTAAATGGGTTTCCTCAGGGGTTTACTCCACTTAAATCTTTTTTTTAAAAAAACAAACAAACAAAGCACCACTTAATATTCTAGCAGTCTCAGGAAAAAAAAAACAAATCTTCTCTATTGTAATATTCCTCCAGGAAGCTCAGAAGAGCAAGCCTTTTATTGTTTTATTCTGTAAGGGAGGTGAAGCCAAGTTCACCGGTAACCCCGAGCACTTTTTTTTTTTTCTGAGAGCTACTTAACAAGATTGGGCAAATCTGTTTCCTTGAACGCTGGGTGCCTAGTCAACAGGAAGGAGCTTGTTGACATTCTCCACAAGGCCAACATTTCCAAAACAGTGCCAGCTCTTGCTTTCTCCCTCAGATAAGTGGCCCTTTAGGGTAAATCCCTGGTTCTTCTAGGCTAGTGAAAACCTGCCCGCAACCCAAGGTGAAAGGGACAGAACAGCAACAGCAAAAAAAGAGAGGTTGAGACCACTTTAATACCACTGGGCTGGGCTGCATTAACAAAGGGAGAGAATCAAGATCACGTGAAGTGTTAATACCACTTTACAAGGCCTTGGTAAGGCCACACTTGGAATACGGCATCCAGTTTTGGTCACCACGATGTAAAAAAGATGCTGAGACTCTGGAAAGAGTACAGAGAAGAGCAACAAAGAGGATCAGGGGACTGGAGGCTAAAGCATAGAAGGAACGGTTGCTGGAACTGGGTATGTCCAGTTTAACGAAGAGAAGGACGAGGGGGGACATGAAAGCAGTCTTCCAGTATCTCAGGGGCTGCCCCAAAGAAGAGGCAGTCAAGCTATTCTCCAAAGCGCCTGAAGGCAGGACAAGAAGCAACGGATGGAAACCCACCAAGGAGAGAAGCAACCTGGAACTAAGGAGAAACTTCCTGACAGTGAGAACAATTAACCAGTGGAACCAGCTGCCTCCAGAAGCGGTGAATGCTCCAACACTGGAGGTTTTTAAGAAGAGACTGGACAGCCATTTGTCTGAAATGGTAAAGGGTTTCCTGCCTGAGCAGGGGGTTGGACTAGATGACCTCCAAGGTCCCTTCCAACTTTATTATTATTATGGACTTCAACTCCGAGAATCCCCAGCGTAGACTTTGTATATAGATGCAACAAAAGCGGCAACTTTTCAGATGTGTGGACTTCAAGTCCCAGAATTCCCCAGCCAACCATGCTGGCTGGGGAATTCTGAGACTTGAAGTCCACACATCTGAAAAGTTGAATTCTGAGAGTTGAAGTTATAATAATAAAGATGGAAGGAACCTTGGAGGTCATCTAGTCCAACCCCTTGCTCAGGCAGGAAACCCTACACCATTTCGGACAAATGGCTGTCCAGTCTCTTCTTAAAGACTTCCAGTGTTGGAGCATTCACCGCTTCTGGAGGCAGGTGGTTCCACTGGTTCATTGTCCTCATGGCCAGGAAGTTTCTCCTTAGTTCCAGGTTGCTTCTCTCCTTGGTTAGTTTCCCTCCGTTGCGTGTCTAAAGTGGAATTCTGGGAGTTTGCTAAGTCCACACGTCTTCGTGTCGAATTCTGGGATCTGAAGCTCGTGCAGCTTCAAGTTGCCACGTTTGAGAAACACGGCTTTAGACGCCCCAAGGATGTATCAGAGGCAAACGTGGTATTAAACCATGGGTCTTTTTTGTTTGTTTGTTTGCTTTTCCAAATCCAGGTTAGGGCTTTCCCACCCTGTGGGGCAATGATGGCATCTGAGGTCATACGAGGGGGGGAGAGGACAGAGGGGGGGGCTAGGGGGAGACACACCGCTTTGAACCTTCACAATGGCTCTGACACTCACCTGGGTGGACTGGATCACGGTAAGATCGTTGATGTAGCAGAAGCCGGCCCCCATGGCGGAGCGCAGGCCGGCGGTCCCAAAGGTCAGCCGGCGGCAGAGACGGTCCCGTAGCTCCTTATTCTTCCCATTCCGTAACAGGCTTTCGATCTGCTCTTTGGTCTTAGGGTTCTGCGAGGGAAAGGAGGAGCAGGGTCAGACTTCGCAGGGGCTCGGGAAAATGGGGAGGCGCGCACTCCTGGAGGGCTGACGATCTGGTGAAGGAACTCATGCTATCTGGGAGAGACGGTGCTAGGGGGGAATATCTGTAGCTCAGGGTTGAATGGTGGGCTGCCTGGTGCTCTCGGAGCTTGGCGGTTTTCTTGCAGACATTTCATGACCCAACTAGGGAACATCAGCAGTGCTAGAAGGGAGGAGGAGGAGGAGGAGGAGGAGGAAGAAGAAGAGGAGGAAGACTGTGGGGTCCCTGGTGCTCTCTGAGCTGGTGGCTTTCTTGCAGACCTTTCATGACCCAACTAGGGAACATCATCAGTGCTAGGAGGAGGAGGAGGAGGAGGAAGACAACGACGACTGTGGGGCCCCAGGTGCTCTCTGAACTGGGTGGTGTTCTTGCAGACGTTTTGTGACCCAGATAGGGAACATCATCAGTGATAGAAGGGAGGGGGGTTTGCACGCACACACACACACACACACACACAGAGAGAGAGAGAGAGAGAGAGAGAGAGAGAGAGAGAGAAGGAGGAGGAGGAGGAGGAGGAAGACTGTGGGATCCCCGGTGCTCTCTGAGCTGGGTGGTTTTCTTGCAGACCTTTCATGACCCAACTAGGGGACATCATCAGTGCTAGAAGGGGGGAGGAGGAGGAGGACAACGACTGTGGGGTCCCAGGTGCTCTCTGACTAGGTGGTGTTCTTGCAGACGTTTTGTGACCCAGCTAAGGAACATCATCAGTGATAGAAGGGAGGGCGGTTTGCACACACACACACACACACACAGACAGAGAGAGAGAGAGAGAGAGAGAGAGAGAGAGAGAGAGAAGGAGGAGGAGGACGACGACTGGGGGGGGTCCTTGGTGCTCTCTGAGCTGGGTGGTTTTCCTGAAGACGTTTCATGACCCAACTAGGGAACATCATCAATGCTAGGAGAGAGTGGGAGTTTATAGAAAGGAGGAGGAGGAGGACTATGGGGTCCTTGGTGCTCTCTGAGCTTGGTGGTTTTCCTGCAGACAGTTCATGACCCAACTAGGGAACATCATCAGTGCTAGAAGGGAGGAGGAGGAGGAGGAGGAGGAGGAGGAGGAGGAGGAGGAGGAGGAGGGAGGAGGAGGACAACGACGACTGTGGGATCGCTGGTGCTCTCTGAGCTTGGTGGTTTTCTTGCAGACATTTCATGACCCAACTAGGGAACATCATCAGTGCTAGAAAGGGGGCCCTTGATGCTCTCTGAGCTGGGTTGTTTTCTTGCAGACATTTCATTAGCAAACCAGGTAACATCCTGAGTGCTAGAAGGAAGTGAGGTTAAACAGCGAGCAAACCCTACATCCTTCTAACACGGATGATGTTACCTAGTTTGGCAATGAAACATCTGCAAGAAAACTGCCCACCTCGGAGAGCACCAAGCACCCCAGAGAAAGCCAGGCTATCTAGTAACTCGGCCACCTACGATCGAGCAAGCAAACCACTTCAGCCAACATCAGCTTCCGTTGTTATATCCCACTGCTTGGAAGAGTGAGGGGGAAGCAGGTCTGACTCAACCCAGCTTCCAGCTTCCCCAGCTGTGCATCAGCCTGAAAACCTCTGGAGCTATTGTAAGGTTTGTCTCCGTTGACTCTTCCACACTGGCCTTTCCCTTCATTTATTCAAATTTGTTATAGCCGTCCAAATCCGACGGGACCTTGGGCGGCCTGCAAAATAAAATAAAATAAAATCCATTAAAAAAAGAGATAAAACATAAAAATACGCAGAGAGCCTGGAACTTAAACGATCTTAAAGACAGGATTTTATTATTTTCCAAAGCTCCTGAAGGCAGGACAAGAAGCAACGGGTGGAAACTCATCAAGGAGAGAAGCAACCTGGAACTAAGGAGAAACTTCCTGACAGTGAGAACAATTAACCCGTGGAACCACCTGCCTCCAGAAGCGGTAAATGCTCCAACACTGGAAGTTTTTAAGAAGAGACTGGACAGCCACTTGTCCGAAATGGTCTAGGGCAGTGATGGCGAACGTTTTAGAGACCGTCCAAACTGCAACCAAAACCCACTTATGCATTGTTGGGTGCCGGGTGGGTGTGGCCCATTGGCTGGGTGTGGCCCATTGGCTGGGCGTGGTTGCGGTGGTGACAGCAGACTGGGTGGGACTAAAAAGTTCAATCAATCAATTCCAACTTTGCAAGATCTTTTTTTTCCCCGCGAGAAGTTGAAATTGACTGACTGACTGAACCTTTTTTTTTTTTGCACACGGCGGTGGAGGCCTAAAGCGAAAAGGTTTTATAAAATCCAGCTGAAGGCCCAGGACTGGGGCAATGGCGTGTGTGCCCACAGAGAGGGCTCTGAGTGCTGCCTCTGGCACCCGTGCCATGGGTTCACCACCACTGATCTAGTTGAATCATGAAACATCTGCAAGAAGACAGTCAAGTTCAGAGAGCACCAAGAGAGAATGAGAGAGAGAGAGAGAGAGAGAGAGAGAGAGAGAGTCCTAGTAGACAATCACCAAAATTTCTTAAAAAAAGGAAGTTTTTAAGAAGAGACTGGACAGCCACTTGTCCGAAATAGTGTAGGGTTTCCTGCCCGAGCAGGGGGTTGGACTAGATGACCTCCAAGGTCCCTTCCAACTTTAGTAATATGAACAAAATATGAGCCAGCAATGTGCTGCAGCTGCCAAAAAAGCCAACTCAGTGCTGGGCTGCATTAACAGAGAATCAGGATCACGTGAAGGGTTAGTACCACTCGACAAGGCCTTGGTAAGGCCACACTTGGAATACGGCATCCAGTTTTGGTCACCACGACGTAAAAAAGATGTTGAGACTCTAGAACAGTGGTTCTCAACAGTGGTTCTCAACAGTGGTTCTCAACAGTGGTTCTCAACAGTGGTTCTCAACCGCGACCCCATAATACAGTTCCCCATATTGTGGTGACCCCCAACCACTTATACATCACCGGGTGCCAGGGGCGTGGCCAAAGAAAAGGGGGAAAAAATGGCAGACAGCCTTGTTTGGCGACCCCCGTGAAATGGTCGTTCGACCCCAAATGGGGTCGCGACCCACAGGTTGAGAACCACCGCTCTAGAAAGAGTGCAGAGAAGAGCAACAAAGATGATTAGGGGACTGGAGACTAAAACATACAAAAAACAGTTGCTGGAATTGGGTATGTCTAGTTTAATGAAGAGAAGGATGAGGGGGGACATTGATAGCAGTCTTCCAGTATCTCAAGGGCTGCCCCAAAGAAGAGGGAGTCAAGCTGTTTTCCAAAGCCCCTGAAGGCAGAACAAGAAGCAACGGATGGAAACCGATCAAGGAGAGAAGCAACCTGGAACTAAGGAGAAACTTCCTGACAGTTAGAACAATTCACCAGTGGAACAACCTGCCTCCAGAAGCGGTGAATGCTCTAACACTTAAGAAGAGACTGGACAACCATTTGTCTGAAATGGTACAGGGTTTCCTGCCTGAGCAGGGGGTTGGACTATTTGACCTCCAAGGCCCCTTCTGACTTTATTATTATTATTATTAACCATATGAGGTGGGTTGGGCCGAGAGAGAACCACAGGCCGAAAGTCACCCAACCAGCATTTCATGCCTAAGGAAAGATTGAGAGAGAACAGTCCAGCACCTTCATCACCGTACCAAATCAATTACATCCCTCACGGGCTAACACTACTGTACAACTGGGCAAGGAGAAGGAAGCACAAAACACATCACAAAACCGTCTACAATTCCCCACCAAACCCCGCGTTAACGATCAATTTGGTAACCAACGATCGTTCAAATGTCAGACTTTGTAGAAGTCTTATGAAACCGCTTTGATTGCGGTTCAATAAAAGACCAGAACAAGCCAGAATTTGTTATAATATTTTTTGCTGCCGATCTCAGAAAGCCTTAATACGTGCTATTCTTTGCTTTGCCAAATTCTTTCCGCGAAACCCGGGACGATTTGCAGAGCTGCAAGCTCACGCTTTCATCTTTCTGCCAAACATGAAGATGGCTGGCTGATAGCGGAGCAGGGGGAGCGGAATTTACATTGCATAACACGCCCTGCAGCTTTCGATTTATGTGCTGTTGCTGAAGCACAAGCATGCGTGATAAAATCGGCTGTGGATCATGCGAGCTGATCTTTGCAGCTCCCGGCCTCCTCGCAGGTCACTTTAGAAAGGCGATGGAATCTAGTAATCCCAGGGATGAGTGAGAAGCTTGACCTTTACCACAAAGAGGTCAGCCAGGGACTGCCAGCTATTGATCAGCTGGTGGAAATTGAGAAATACAGTTCTTTCAAAGACAGAACGTTTTCATTTTATTTGTTAATTAAATTTATTTGCTGCCCACCGCTGTTTCGCTGAGTTATTTGGGGTCCGGATCTGGCTGACCTTCTCTGAACAACTCCACCGACATCAGCCTTGAATAAAAGGACATTCTCTCCTGTTTAAATCGTGAAATTTGATGGAGCTGAGCATGACTCAGGGTATCATTTGCACATGAATGAGATGAAGTAAACAGGCTCTATCCAATTCATCTGCAAATGATGTTCTGAGTCATGTTCGGTTCCGTCAAATTGAAGTAAAAATGCACGCTGCCTTGAACAGGGAAAAGAGGAGAAAATACATTTTACCTCCGAGTGCGTGATCAAATCTAAATAACTCAAGATTCACGTGTTTCTGTCTGGGATGGCAGAAGAGGGGGGTTCAATTCGATCACAGAACAATGTGTGTTTCCAACAGAAAGAAACGCTGTTCTATTCTTCAACATTTCTTGCAAAAAATAATAATAATAATAATAATTTGGAATTAATCTGTGCAAAGATCCATAATCTCAAGTTTTCTGTTTTTCTATCAGTTAGCAATTCTTCTTGTTGTTGTTATGCCATATCCGTTATGGGACGTTGGCGATCCTGTTGGCGATCCTGTTTTTATCAGCAGCCGCACAAAAAAGTGCTGCTGAGTTTTGTCCAAACCGGTCCCTTAGATTTT